CATTAGATTTTGGGAAGCGATTCTTCCCTGTGAGGGTGGGGAGGCCCTGGCAGAGGTTACCCAGAGAAGCTGTGGCTGCCCCAAGTGTCCAAGGCTGGGTTGGACAGGGCTTGGAGCAACCTGGGCTAGTGGAAGGTGTCCCTGCCCACGGCAGGTGATCTTTGATGTCCCTTCCAACTCCAACCATTCCTGCCTGGCACCTCAGAGTATGTGAGCTGGTTCAGACTCTGCTGTTACCCAGCAAGGGCTGTGAAAGGTGTTTTGTTTGGGCTGGACTTTCATTTGTGGTCCAGACATTACAGCATTGCATTGCATGATCCCAAAAGCAGCAGTGCATCGCTCAGTCAGGGCTGTTTCTCTTGGCCATATCTTGTTCTGCAAAAGTTTTAAATAAACATCGTGAGGAAAGGGAAATGTCAGTTCAGGAAGTTTCCATTTAAAATATTTATCTGTGCTTTTATTTTCTTTTAAACTCGAAAAGCTTTGGGGAGGACCGAGCTGCAGAGTGGCTGGGATGTATTTTGGCAACACAGGCCTTAGTCTTTAACATGAGAATGACTCAGTGGTGCTGTTTAAGGGCTGTATGGCCCCTCGTAGTCCAGGAGGTGACTCTGTGTTGAGTTGGGCTGCGCTCTGTGCCCGTCCTAAGCGCAGACATGCCACAGTGAGCTTTCAGATGTGTAGATAATCCCATGCAGCTCCACGCTCTGCTTTGTTCAAACCCAGAATTCCCTTTTCAAAGCCCGATGCTTACATGAAAAATGTATTTTTTTCCCCCCCTTGGCAGCAAAGAATGAAGCTGACCGTCAAGCTGAGAAGCGCGAGATCAAGCGCCGGCTCACCAGAAAGGTACTGCTGGCCCCCGTGGTGACGGCCACCTGGCAGGGCTGGTGGCAACGGGCACGGCGTGGGCACCGTGCTGCGGGGGCAGTCACGGGGCCATTGTGTAAGTGTCCCCAGCGCCCTTGGGCTGCGGGGACTTTGGCACGAGGGCTGTCACCCGCGGGGAGCCGCTGGCGCTGTTGGCAGTGACAGATCTGAGCTGGCAGCGAGCGTAACGAGAGAGACGAGAACTAAATTTGGCACCTGGCACCTGCCAGGCCGGCAAACCTTCCTGCTCTAGCACAGCTCTTCAGCGGCCACGGCTCACACCAGGCTCCCTAAAACTCATTTCTAAAGCAACAGCGGTGTGGGAGCTGAGCAGAGCAACAGCTGCTTTGAGCTGTTACGTCCGGGTTACTTTGGGATTGTTACTCATGGCTGGGAAAAGCTTCCTCGGGGCCTGTGGGTGTGAAATGTGAGTGTTGCCATTGCTGGGGTTGAGTTGAGGGGTGTCATGCAGGGCTCACCATTTAATAGATATTCCCAAACCTTTTGTCTTCCTTCTTTGTGGCAATGTGTCCTGGGTTCTGCCCTATCCTGGCCTGATGATCCAAATGGGAATATCCAGTCTGTAAGAGGGTTTGCCTGCTCCCTTGCAGGATGTGAGCAGGACCTGGCAGGGTCTGTGGCTCAGCCCCAGCGAGGGAACTGGTTTTAGTTTTGCTCAGGGTGCTTAGCCCTGATCTGCTTCGTGGACAAGGCTCAGACTAACCTCCTTTGTTCTTGCTGGTGTTCAGCTTAGCCAAAGGCCTACGGTGGCAGAGTTGCAGGCCAGGAAGATCCTGAGGTTTAATGAATACGTGGAAGTAACAGATGCTCAGGACTATGACCGGCGAGCGGATAAGCCGTGGACAAAGCTGACACCAGCTGACAAGGTAACGGGGAGTGACCTGGCCCCAGGTGGGGAGGGGAGCCACACCAGGGTGGGAGCCAAGGAGATTTGCTCTGTTCCTCTTGCTTCACCTCTTCATCTTTCCCTCTGCCCTCCCACCGAGCACCACCAGTGTCCCTTTACCCGTGTGTGCTGTCCCAGCTCTGCTTCCTGCTGCCTCATGGTGAGGTGGAGCCCAGGGGGGCAGGGGCTGCAGGCCAGCATGGCCTCTGCATCAGCTTCTGGGTGATGTAAGAATCATAAAATCATGGAATGGTTTAAGTTGGAAAAGCCCTCTGAGATTATTGAGTCCAGCTTTTGACCTGGCACCACCACGTTCATCACTAACCCATGTCCCCAAGTGCCACATCCACGTGTTCTTTGAGCACTCCAGGGATAGTGACTCCACCACTGCCCTGGGCTGCCTCTTCCAGGGCTTGACAACCCTTTGGGTGAATAAATTTTCCTTAATATCCAATCTAAACCTTCCCTAGTGCAACTTGAGGCCATTTCCTCTCATCCTGTCTCTTGTTCCCTGGGAGCAGAGCCTGACTCCCCCCCGGCTCCCCCTTCCTGTCAGGGAGTTGTAGAGCACAAGAAGGTCCCCCCTGAGCCTCCTTTTCTCCAGGCTGAGACCCCCAACTCCCTCCATCACTCCTGGTGCTCCAGACCCTTCCCCAGCTCCATTCCCTTCCTGGACACACCAAGGATGCAGGCCATGGGTCAGAGGAATGTTGTTCCTTGCAGGCTCAGGCAAAAAGCTGGCAGGGAAGTCTGTCCTTGTCCTCCTTGGCCACCTGTGGGACTGCCCAGCCCTGAGGTGGAGGAGGTGGGGCAGATTAAATTCAGTTTAGTGTGAACAAACTGCCAAAGCTGGTGTGGCTGCTGCAACCTGAGTCCTTTCCTTTCTCAAAAAAAAAAAATCTCCCTCTCTGTGCAGGCGGCCATCAGGAAGGAGCTGAATGAGTTTAAGAGCTCTGAAATGGAAGTGCATGAGGAGAGCAAGCAGTTCACGAGGTGAGAACATGTTACTCAAGAGTTTGTCTTGTAGGAGCTGTTAGAGTTCTGCCCTTGGGTGCTGTGCTGAGGAGCAGAAAAATTGTGCAGAAATGGGAGATTGAATGTCCCCTCCTGCCTTGGTGGTGAGGGGTGATCGGAGCAGTAGCAGACACAAAGTGGGTTGGTTTTCCTTAAAAAATTGGGGCTTCCACCCTGGAAACTCAAAGTGACCAGTGACTGGTTTGCAATGCATCTGAAACCAGTGTGACCTTGCAGCTGGAATGGACTTTGCTGGGGCTAGAGAAGCCACAACCACAAAACACCTTGGTAACGAGCTGGGATATTATCTGTGAAGTCACCTGTGAATTGTGGCCCAAGTGATTCTTTTTCCTTCCAGCTTTGTGAGGTGGAGTTGTTTGCAGAGCACAAAAGGTGAAATTGTTTGATGTTTACAGCTTCCCCGAGGGCTGGGAGCTCTGAGATAATTCAATTTACTCTCTTTGGCCACCTAACCATTTAACCTGGACAACACACAGATTTTTCACTTGGCTTTCAGGTACCATCGACCATAATCTTCCAAGAAGGGAGCAAGAGACCCGAGAGGCCTGGAAGTTCTCTGCGTCCCTCTCCTAGGCAATACAGCGAGGGTGGAACCCTGGCTCTTCCAAGATTTGCCTTCCAACCATGTCCAGAAAAGGGCTTTCAGCCAGGGAAAGGGGAATCCTGTCTGAATGTAGCATTTCACTGGAACAAACACGTCTCTCGTGCCATCAGGCTGGAACTGACACTATACCTCGTGTGGCTCAGCAATAACCCCCTGCCAGGAGACCATGCCCAGGGGAACAGACTCCTTTTTGGGATGCAATTCCTCCTCTTTTCCACGAGGAAGGGGGGGGAAAAAAGAAAAAAAGGCAGCTCTAGTGTTGGGAAGCTGAGGAGAGGATGTGCTTGGAAGCACGTGTGTGTATATTAGCTGTGTACAGAGAAACCTGGCACACAACTGACATGTCACTCGTTATTTTTGGGGGTTTTGCTTGTTTCTGTCATGTCCTTAATGTCCTGAATCACTACTGACCAACGGTTTGTTGTGCTGGAAGGGAACTGTATAGGTATTAACATATGCTGCATCCTTTTTGTAAAAAAAAAACACAAACAAAAACAACAAAAACCACAGATGTATAAAACATTCCCTCCCCACCCTCTCACACTTGCTGTGATGTTAATAACAGATCTTGAGATATCTAGGATTGTTTAACAAATTACAGAACCAGAAAAATGACTGTTGCCTTTTAAAACTTTTTAATTCGGGGAAAAGGTGAGAGTAGTCAATCCTTTTTATTGTGGCTTCCTCTCAGATGTTTTTTACTCTCCCAAATCAGGGTTGAAACTTGCCTTTTTTTCTCATTTTTACAGCTAAACCTACTGGAAACTTGATGAATTTCACTGTGTGGGTCGAAGGGAGTGGAGGAAGAGGTTTAAAAAGTGACCTTAAAAAGATGATATTTCTCTTCTGAAAGAAGTTCTTCTGAAATGTGGGGTTTTAAAAAAAAAAAAAAAAAAGAATCTGTTATAGGCCACTGCTGTATTATGCACAAAACCTAAACCATGTGTGAGATGCCACTTGTGAGGGAAGGGAGCGCGGGGATGGAGAGAGAGGGGTTTTGCCTTGTTCACAGGCAGGGTGGCAACACCCCAGCCTTGACCCGGCACCCTCGTGTGACATGGCGAAGGTTCTTCCCTCACAGCTCCCCCCCTGTACAGCCACCTGTAGACTTAAACCATTGCGTTGTATATCAGTCTCCTCAGCAACAGATTTTAACTATGGAATAAAAGTATTTTAGGATTTTTTTTAAAAAAAAAAAAGTAAAGTGCTTTTGTGGTGTTTTCAACCGCTGGGGCCCGAAGGGGCGGGACCGGCCCCTGAGGGGGCGGGGCTGGGGGTGGTGGATCCATCATGGCGGCGCCTCCCGGAGGGGAAGGGTTTTCCCGCCTTTCCAACCGTCGCCGCCGCCACTGCGCAGGCGCCGCTGGCCCCGCCTCTTTGCTGACGGTTCAGGGGAGTCTGGCCCCTCCCCTTGCTCACTGCTCATGCCCATGTACGGTTTAACTCCGCCCCCTACTTGGTGCGCATGCGCATTTTGCCACGCCCTTTCACGTTCTATAAATACCGCGGCGCGGCCGCTCCCGTTCTCTTTCTCACTGAGGTCTCATTGCAGTCGCAGGTAAGTGTGATCCTCTTTTACCCATTTTTAATCCTCTTTTTCGCTATGCTCTGGGGCCCTGGTGGCCATGAAGCCGCCTGCAGGGACACCGCATGTCCTTTTAGCGCTAAAACAGGCCGTGAGTTACACGTGGCGGAGGGTGCGCCTCAGCAGTCCCTCACGGCCTGCTCCTCTTTCCACAGGTTACACTGTCGCCTGCCCAGCCCGGCCTGCCCAGCTCGCTCCAGCGTGAGTATCGCGTGGCCACGTCTGTGCTCTGCGGAGCGCAGGGGTGTTTAGGGGTTATAAATATAAAAACGCAAACCCAACGTGGATATCCGGAGAAGTCGCTCTCTCTCGGCTCTGTCCGTGTGGCGCACGGGAGCGCAGGCCCTCGGGCCCGTGACGTACAGTCCCCTTCCACGACGTTGGAGAACAAGCCGGGCCGCCGAGCCTGCAGCCTGCATATTCCTACTGCTTCTCTGAGCCCCCGGGCCGTTACAGAGGAGACAAACCATGCAGGAAACAATTCCACACGCGGGATGGGGCGGGAGACGCGTGCGGGGCTGGAGGGGGGAGAGAGGGGGGGAAAAATATATCTCCCGAGCAATTCCTTAAAAAACTTTCTTTTCCGTTTCCAGTTGTAAAGCTTAAGGAACGATTGAGAGTAACGTGACTTTGAAAGGTAAGTGCGTAAATACGTGTTCTGTTCTCTTTAAAATTTAAACTTTAATTACACTGTTCACTTGAAAATTTAAACATACTTTTAATCGGCTTTAACCGTTTTTAAGCCTCTTATGGGACAGTTGAATCGGCTTAAAGTGATTAAACTCCAATCCAGACTATGTAGGTGTTGCTTAACACAAAGTTTGGCTCAGCCGTTCCTAGCTTTTAAGATTTTTGTTGGATTTTGGTTTCATGGGTGGGTAAAAAAGGTGGTTCCTGGCTCTTTAAGAGAAAAGAAAGCTCCGTTCATTAATCTTTGCAGAGAAGAAAAAAAAATCTGCTAAAGTGGGGATTAATAATGCGTTTGCAACCTTACTTGTGTTATATGAAAAATGGGAAATAAAACTAATCTTATTTTTTTAAATATTGCAGATACTGTATGAGATGACAGAAAAAAATACATTTTTAGTGGGAAAAGGTGAGTATATTGGGAGAATCGGCCCAAATAGTTAAAAGGGGTGGTAGCTGAAGGCCAGTTCTTGCACTAATTGGCTGGGAGCAGGGGATACTTAAATTTGGTGGCTTTCCAGAGCATGTGCTTGTGCTGGGAAATGGCCACGTGTGTGACTTGGTCGCTTGGTGGAATGTGCAGCTCCTGGATTTTGGGGAGCAGTGGAGCAGGGCCTGGGGCTGGGCACGTGTGTGTGAGGTGCACGGGAAAAATCAGTGGGCTGTGGTGGGAGTGGATAAAGGGCAAGTGAAAAGCAAAGGGCTGGATGGCCCACCTGTGAGAGGTGCTGCTTTTGGAGCCCTCTGAAACTGGGAGGGGGGAGAGGGGTGTAAGGAAGAAGCCACGTGCTCTCCTGTGGATCCGGACTTGCCAACCACCCTCCCATCCAGAGGGAGTGCCAGCTGCCAGGGAAGCCACACTCTGACCTCGTGGGCCAAGGGCATTCCAGGGAAGCTGATCCTGGAGGGGGGTGGCTCACAGGATGTGGGTGGGAGCAGCAGTTTGTGTGTGTGTGTGTGTAAACCCTGAAATCAGCCCTGCCCGGTGCTGCTTCTAAATCTGTACTTGGCTGCCGTAGAGAATATAATAAACTTGATTTGCTTTGGCTTGGTGTGTGTTTCTTGGTAAGTGAGCTACTGGTTAATCCATCAATATTAAGGAGAACTTGATGCTCCTGTTGGGTGTTTCTCAGTTGTGTGGAAGTGGAATTCTGGTGTGGTGTCCCTCTCCAAAGGGTATAAAAACCCTCTGTTAGATCTGAATTAGAGCAGGTAATTAATACTTAAAGTTCAGCTTGGGATCATATCAAGGCAAAAAAGTCTGTCATTAAGGGCTGAACCCAGATAGGGTAATGGAGTTTGTACTCTGGGGGTGTGGCTTTTGTGGGGGAAGGAGGGAGGGCGATCACGAGTTCTGCACCCTGTTCTAGGGGGAGTGGTTTTGGGGAGGTTCTGCAGGGATTGGTTAAAATACCTTCCAGCAGTTGCCTGGCTGTCCTGTCCCCAGACGTGAAATCCACGGGCAAAGGGTCAGGGGGTGGTTGTGCCCCTGCTCGCCTGAGGAGATCCAGCATGAGCCTGGGATAACAAATATTCCAGGGTTATACCCCTCCCAGAAGGGTTTTCTGATGGCCTGGATGCTGTGCAGGGCACCTCGGGGTTGGGGTCTGTGTAAATGAGCTAACTTAATCAGCTGAGGGTGCAATTGGGAGCTTGATTTCATTAAAAAAGTGCCTTTGAATGCCAAACTGCAGGCCCTTGGTGTGGAACATCCCCGGGGCTGGATTTGCATGTTAACTGGAGCAGAATTAATCAGTGGAATGGAGATTCATCCCATTAGATAAGGGGGGAAACTTGAAAGTTCGCTGTCCTCCCATCACCCCAAGACACTCAGTCTGGTTCCTGCTTCAAGAATGAAAGTGGATTTTCCACATTAAGCAGTGGGATGCTGGAAAATGTGGGAGCAGCTCTTGTCGCCTCAGCCTGGGCTGGAGGCACCGCTGAGGTTCAGAGGCAGGAAGAGTGAGTTACACTAACAGGATTTATTGCCCGGGGGGGCAACAGATTGTCTGAGGGTGGCAGCTGTCAGCCCTGCTTGTCCTACCTGGCCTATCCTACCTCTCCTGCCCTATGTCCTCCTGTCCTACCTGCCTTGCCCCATCTGAACTGCATGTCCTATCCCACCTGTCCTTTCCTGCCCTACCTGTCCCTCTGCCCTTTCTGTCCTACTGTTCTGTGCCACCTATCCTTTCCTTCTGTCCCACCTGGACTTCTGCCCTACTTGTCTTCTGGTTTTGCCCTGTCCCTTTTGTCCTACCTGTCCTTCTGCCCCGTCTTTCTGTACTACCTGTCCTGTCCTACTTGTCCTTCTGCCAAACCTGTCCTTTTGTCCTACTTATCCTTCTGTCCTGTCCCACCTGTCTTTCCGTCCTACCGGTCCTTTTGTCCTGTCCTACCTCTCCTTCTGTCCTATCTGTCCCATCCTACCTGTCCTCCTGTCCAACCTGTACTTCTGTCCTTCTGCCCTACCCGTCCTCCTGTCCTGTCCTTTCTTCCTTCTCCCTTGTCTGTCCCGCCTGTCCTGTCCCGCCTGTCCTTCTGCCCTGTCTTTTGTCCATCCTGTCCTGTCCTATCCCACCTGTACTTCTGTCCTGCCCTACCCGTGCTCCTGTCCTTTCTGTCCTTCTTCCTTGTCTGTCCTACCTGTGACACCTGTCTTACTAGTCCACTTGTACTTCTGTCCTATCCTACCTGTCCGGCCTGTCCTTCTGTCCCCACTGTCGGTCCCTCTGTCCCCCCGGGGTGGTTTGTCCCTGCCCGGTGCCCGCCGGCCGCCAGGGGGCGCTGCCGCGCGCGGAGCCCGGCGCACGCGGCGCTGGCGCATGCGCAGGTCGGCCGGCGGCGCGGTGAGGGAGCGGGAGCGGCGCCGGGCCGGGAACGGGAGCGGGAACGGGAACGGGCGGGCCGGGATGGGCACGCGGTCACGGCGGGGACGGAGGGCACCGAGCCGGCCTCGGCGCAGCCGGGCGGTTCGAAAGGACAGCGGCGACCCGCGCGAGGAGAGGCTGGGCCCGGCCGAGGCCTGCGCGGCCCCACGTGAGGCGGCGGCGCGGGGAATTCGAATGGCGGGAAGGGGCTGGGATGGGGGGGCTCGGGGGTCGGGACGGGAGAGAGGGACACGGACATGGACACGGCTGGGCTAGGGAGAGGGGGAGTTCGCGGGGTGCTGCTGCCTCTGGCTCCTCGTCTCCCCTTTCCCTCTCCTTTTCCCTTCCCGTCATCTCCTTATCCCTTTCCCCTTCTCTTCCCCCTTTCTTCTTTCCTCTTCCTTTTCCACTTCCTTTCTCTTCCCTTCCTCCTTTCCCCTTCGTTTTCCCTTTCGTTTCCCCTTCTCTTTCCCCTTTCTCCTTTCCCCTTCCCTTTCACTTTCTCTTCCCTTCCCCGTTCATTTCCTCCTTTCCCCTTCGATCTTCCCTTTCCCTTCCCTTTCTCCTTCCCCTCCACCTTTCCCCTTCCCTCCCTGCCTTCCTGGACCTGACAGAGTGAGGACAGGGAGTGTGGACCAAACCTGCAGGGAACAACCCTCCGTTCTCCCAGAACGGGAGCAGGGATCAGTTCTCAAAGCCCAGCTCATTCCCCAGCCCCTCAGGTGGCTTCTAGGGCAGGAGGGGACACCCCAAACACCAGTGGCCCTGTGGGTGACCCCTGTTTGTGACCTTTAGGTCCCACCATGCCGGGGAAACGCACCGCCAAGAACCCGGCACCGGAGGAGGAGCCTCTGGAGAGGAAGAAAATTAAAGGTAAGGAAAACCCCGGGGGGTTTTCCCCTCCCCTTTCCCCAGGAATGAACTTTGCCAGGAAGGCTGTACCCCTAACCCCTCCATGTTCTCTCTCCCCACAGTCAGCCACCCATCACACTGCACGCAGCCGGGGCTGGTGCTGACCCTGGGCCAGGGCAACGTGGGCCAGCTGGGCCTGGGTGAGGACATCATGGAGAGGAAGAAGCCGGCCCTGGTGACGCTGCCGGAGATGGTAGTGCAGGTGGAGGCTGGAGGGATGCACACGGTGTGCCTGGGCCAGACGGGCAAGGTGGGTGCACTGCAGGGGGGCTGAGCTTCCCCCCGAGCCCTAGGGGATGTTCTGGGCCAGGGGGGGTGGATTGGGCACTGCTCTGCTCGTGTCTTGTTGCAGCTCTGGGGTGAGTGTGGTCTCACGTGGACCATGAAATTTTAGAGTGTCAGAGGGAGTAACTCAAGAGAGCTGGAGAGGGACTTTGGACAAGAGAAAGAGGACAAGGGGGAATGGCTTCACACTGACAGAGAGTAGGTTTAGATTGGATATTAGGAAGAAATTGTTCCCTGTGAGGGTGGGGAGGCCCTGGCACAGGTTGCCCCATCCCTGGAAGTGTCCAAGGCCAGGTTGGATGGGGCTTGGAGCAACCTGGGATAGTGGAAGGTGTCCCTGCCCCATCCCAACCCCTCGCTCTCCATCTGCAGATCTACACCTTTGGCTGCAACGACGAAGGTGCCCTGGGGCGCGACACCTCGGAGGAAGGGTCTGAGACCTCCCCGGGGCCAGTGGAGCTGCAGGAGAAGGTGGTGCAGGTGTCAGCAGGGGACAGTCACACGGCTGCACTGACCGAGGACGGCAGGGTCTTCGTGTGGGGCTCCTTCCGGGTACGCTGCTCCCTGGGGCGCTGGCAGCTCCCATTTTGGCAGCTGCTCCGGTGACTCACATCCCTGTGTCTGTCTCTCCACCCAGGATAACAACGGGGTGATTGGCCTGCTGGAGCCCATGAAGACAAGCTCCACTCCTTTGCTGCTCCAGCTGGATGCCCCCGTTGTTAAAATAGCCTCAGGTGAGCCCTGGGGGGTGCGGGGTCGGGAGGGTGCACGAGGGTGTCGCAACCCTCGGGGGAAAGTGAAGGTCCAGAAGGTCCGTGACCTTTTCCACCCTCTTGGCTGCTCCAAGCCTGGTGCAAGGCTGTGCTTGCTCTTCTCTTGTGTGTCTTTTAGCCCAAACAGATGGTTTTGCCCCCCACAGATTAACGTATCAAGTTAATATTTGACCCAATCTGCTGTAAAACGCCTTGACCGCAACCTCAAGGTCACGGCGCTCACCTGCGAAGCCTGGGGAAGCTGAGCTGAGCAGCCATGGAGCTTGTCCAGAGCATGGGGGAGTTTGGGGGGCACCTGTGCCCTTAAACCTTCCCAGAGAAACTGCTTTGAAGTTTCCTGGGATCGGGAAGAGGGAAATCCTGGGGTTTTAAGCTGTGCCACGAGTGGTGTCGAGGTGCAGTAAAAACTCCTCTGAGTTTTAGCAAGCTGGGGTTTGCCTGTGGGATCCAGCCTCTGGGGCTTGCTGAACACTTCTCCATGACTCCTCCTTCCCTCCTCTCCCAGGGAATGACCACCTGGTGATGCTGACGGTGGATGGTGACCTGTTCACGTGTGGCTGTGGCGAGCAGGGCCAGCTGGGCAGGGTGCCAGCGCTCTTTGCCAACCGAGGAGGACGGAAAGGGCTGCGTGAGTGGCTTTGGTTCTTTGGGCTGCATCCATTTGCCCCAGCTCTGGCCTTTCCAGAGGAGCAAAGGGACCCAGTCACTGGTGCTTGTGTGTAATCAGTGACCTGAATGCAGTGAGCTGGGTCCTTAGATCCAGGGAATAATCCTTGTGTAACACCTTGTCTCCTGTCCCCAGAGAGGCTGCTGGTCCCCCAGCTCGTCCCTGTCAGAGGCAAAGGGAGAAGAACCAAAATGCGCTTCCAGGACACCTTTTGTGGGGCCTATTTCACTTTTGCTGTCACACAGGAGGGACACATTTATGGATTTGGCCTCTCCAACTACCACCAGCTGGGTGAGTCCCTCCAGATCTCCTGCCAGTCTCGTGCTGCCCTGGGTGCCCCAAATCCTAGACACTAGGGACAGACTGAAGCTGGAAATTGGGGTGGGGGGATCACAGTCCCTGCAACCGACAGGTTTGAGCAGAAATTTGATCTGGGGGCTCAGGAGGGGGGTTGCTGTGTTGGTGTCTGGGGGGTGAGCCCCAGGGTGGGTGGCTCAGAGGGGGAGCCTGGCCTGGGCTGTGAGTGCCCGTGGCCCTGATCCG